TCGTGTCCATTGTCATCGCGCGCGAGCCATAATCGAAACGTAAATCGTCACATGCTGCCGTGTCACTCGTCACCGACGCGACACGGTGACATTCGAGCTCGCGCGGCTCGAAAGTATAGTTCTCCCCGCGAGAGAGCCGATTCTCCGTCACTTCGACACAGCGCGAACGACATGACCGAGAGCGGCAATTTTTGCGACGCGTTGCACTGCACTTCCGCGGTATCTTTGTCGAGCGGAAAATACTCGCGTAGAAAGCACACGTTTCTCGCCGCGTTGACCGAGACATCGAAGAGACGCGTATTAACTCAACCGGCACTAATTCATAGGCTCGCGGCGCGGCGCGGCCGGCGGCGCACGCTCGGCCATCTCGACTCCGAATTTCGAAAGGCGAATCTCGCGATCGCGGGTTTAACATGATGAACGAATAAGTTACGGTTCCGACGCTTCACACATGTTCCATATCATCGCTTGCTGTCCCGCGAAGCACCTCGAACACTCGCTTGTACGCCAGATTCCCTCTTGATCGATGACAAGTGCGAAAATTACGGAGCAATCACTCACTTGCGTGTCCGACGCGTAACTCCGCTCGCTCGGCTATGTTCGTGCGCGCTCGGCCCGCTTCGGTCGCGCGCGTGACGTATGAGCCGGAAGAGAGACGGCGTTGTTGTCCGCCCGAATTCCTGAGAGTCAGGTAGAGGGGGAGTGGGGGTACGTATACGCGCGCAGGTAGAAAGCACGTGTATTCGCGTTTGGATCTTGGATCGCGGCAGATCGCGGAGCGAATAAACACGTCCTAAAAAATGTCTCTTGTCACATATTTTCTCTTCGCGCTATATATTTTCGCTGTCTGCTAAACTAACTGGCGCGACGACTTAAGATCAAGATACATACGTTACGAAAGTTTTCGGAGTAAATTCCGATCGGAATTATTTCGTTTTCTTTAGAAAACACAATAAAAAATCGAGAAAATAACTAAACAATTCCGATATTTCAAAAAATTCCATAATATACGTACCGAGATACATAACAATCTCTTTCTTTTTCTCTCACGTTATATTCTCGCGCGTTATATTTTCGCTAACCTAACTGGCGCGATGATTTAAAATCAGCCTACGTATTACGAAAGTTTTCGGACTGGATTCCGATCAGAGTTATTTCATTTTCTTTAGAAAGCATAATAAATTTCAACTAAACAATTCCGATCGGAATTTACTCCGAAAACTTTTGTGATATGTGTATCTTGATTTTAAGTCGTCGCGCCAGTTAGTTTAGCGGACAGCGAAAATATAGCGCGAAGAAAAAATATAGGACGAGAGAATTGTTATGTTTTTTAATACGTATTTACTCGCTCCGCGATCCAAACGCGAATACACATACATACACGTGCCTTCAACCTGCGTGCGTACGTACCCCCACTCCCCCACTACCTGACTCTCAGGAATTCGGGCGGACACCGTCACTCTTCCGGTTCATATCGATCGAAATCTATTTCGAAAAAAATTCCATAATACATAATGTCTCTTTTTTTTTCTCGCGCTGTATTTTCGCTATTCGTCAGACTATAACCGACGCGCGACGCGACGTTTTAAAATCAGATGATGAATCGATCATGTTTTATCGCACGTGTAATGTTTGTCGTATTAAAATAAATAAAAATACTTCTTTACGTTTCCCTCGAAAATGCGAAATATCACGTAATGTATAAAGAAACAAATCGCGCTTGCGACATCGACTTTCTCAATTTTCGGTTGAGATACGAGGAAATTCAATTAAAAATTCTCTGTTGGCAGACAAGCGAATACGCATTCGCTTTTTCGAATACCGGCACCGTCGACATCGAATACGCGTGGCAGATAAATATGGACGAGCAGTACCCGGTGAGATCGGTCGCGAATTATTCGTCAAGATCGCGAAGGAACGATGCTCGATCCAAAATTACCTCATTAACGTCTCACGAACATCGTCAACGACACAATCCGAGTTTCGTCGGGAGCGTAAAATCGAATCGTCGACAGCTCCTGTCGTCTCGAGGTAACTACTAGATTCTCGAACGATTACTGATCTATTAAAAAAAAAAAAAAAAAGAAAAGCATATCCGATCTAAATATAAAATATAAATGTTTACAGACAATCTTATCGAGGTGAAACCAACTGCTCGCCAATGCGGTCCATCCGATCTCTTTAGCAGCAGCGCCGGACTGACGGAAAGAAGTAGCGACAGCTGGTTAGAGAGCGACGATCTTCCGTTTGGAATTTATCCCGAAAAGGGAATTTTATCGCCGGATGAATCCGTGGAATGCGTTTTGCGATTCTCCCCCGTGGATGTATTCGACTACAAGGCATATCTTACATGCAAGTACGATCGCCATTGCGACTATTTGTCTATTTCGATATCATTTAATTTAATCTGATTCGATTTTGCGAAATAATTTAATTTATACTGCCGGATCTTTCTTGTTATAAATGAAGCTTTTAGTACGCGTAATTATTTAAATTATAAATGGAATTTGTATTTAATAAATAATTTTACGCATATTATTTATTAAATACAAATTTCGGTGGCGCGCAACTGATATCGGATGTTTTAATAATAAAAATAATTCTAAAAGTGCAAATGAAATAAATACAAAATAAATATAAATACAAAAGCCTGCCGCTATCGTCACGTATATTTTCATCCGTTTATTTATCGGATTGATCGTACCCATAAATTCTTGACGCTATCTGCATACGCGCATTTCCGTTTGTTCCGGTGAGCAGAATGGAGAATCTCGATCCGGAGCTGCCGGAGTTGGTTATTCCCATCGTCGGAAGAAGTTTGTTGCCGTACTGCCACTTCGACATACCGGAAAGCGACTATCTGCTCGGTGATAGACGCGACGCGAAACTGCCAGGACCCATCGGTTACCAACCGGATGATAATTCTCTTCCGGAGGGTACGAGAGTGATTGAGCTCGACGTGATCGGAATCGGCGGGTCTCACGTAATGTAAATAATATATATATATATATATGTTTAACCGAATAGAGACGCAAACACTAATGCGTTATCGGAAATTTCAGCAAGTTCCGAATGATAAATCCAACGTCGGACGACTATCATTTCGCTTGGGAGGATCGTACCCGTCACGCCGAAGGCGAGATCCCGAAATTTCATTGTACACTTCCGGAAGGAATCGCTGAGCGAGGAAAACAAGTCGACTTCGCGTTTACGTTTCTCGCGGAGGACATCGGCATTTTCGAATCCTTCTGGTTGTTCCGTGTCGAAAAATACAATCTGGAGTGTTTCTTTCTGTTCGTCGCAACGGTCAGAGAACCGTCGGTTTGCTGTTCGCTTGCCCATCTAAAAATGAGACCAACCGTATTGGGTTAGATAAAAGAGACTGATAGAAAGATATATATAAACATTCTGTACGATCTTTATGCATTGACATCTATGTCCTCCACAGGGACCAATGTGCGAGGTTCGGTAAGCATAATTAACAACGAGGAATTTCAGATTTCCTTTCACATCGCGCGAGATTCTTTATATTCCGAAGGGCGGCTTCAGCATTTAAAGATAACGCCTATGAGTGGCATTTTGCCAGCGAAAAGCGAGCAGATATTTTGGTAAACGAAGAAAAAGCAAGATCTCTGAACATTTCGAAATTTTTCAGATATTTTAATCAAACACCTTTTATTACGTAGGATCGAGTATCAGCCTACGCTTGTTGGCGAATTTCAATTTTCTGTAAAATGCGTTGTAAAAAGAATGAAGGCATTATTGACTATATTTGTTACGACGACGACGTACGATATTATCGTTTCCGTTACGTACGTCGATCAGAACGGCCAGATAGCGCGATTAAATCAGAATAAAGAAAATATTATCGACTACGGGAAAGTATGTATACATATATATCTAATTTGTTTTAAAATTGAAAAATAAATTTTAACCAACATCAAGCATTTTTAATTTTTAGTTGATGTTAAAAACGCCCGTTACTATCACGTTTGAAATAATAAACTCGAGCAAGATGACGCTTTACTACTCTTGGGACCTCGGCATGACATCGGAAATAATTAGCAGAAATATGTACACGATTGCAATGCCTCAAACGCAGGATCACGTGCTTAGCGAGTCGCGTTCCAACTGTTCTCTCATTGTCACAGCGTTACAAAAGACGGTGATAAAGAATCATCCCATTCTTTTGAAGGTACCGTTCTTGTTTTTCCTATATCAATATCATTATGTTTTCTGAAAGATGTAAACGGAGATTTTACAAATCGCTGCCTCTTTTTCGTATTCAGATTTCTAGAGGGCCGACCTACCGACTAATCTTGAAAGCAACAGCGAATAAACCGATTTTGGAGTTCAGTTTTAATTATTACGACTTTGGACCGTGCTACATTCGAAACGTCACTCCGTATCACATCGACTTACGCATCACGAATTCAGACGATGTTCCGTACATGTAAGCTGGTTTTTAATCACTTTCAGAAAGTCCGAGAGATTAACTAACAAAACGATTCATTTTCTTAGATTAGAATGCAAATTTGAGAAGAAACCACACATCTCTGTAAATCTAGATGCCCTTTCAGAGACAATAATCGCTCGGTCAAGTATTATCGTTCCGATAACATTCCGACCTTTGGAACAGGTGCATTATCGTGATGATTTGCATTTTATAATCAATTCGACGATCGAAAAAAAGATTACTATAACTGGCGAAGGAATTATACATAAGGTATAAATATAATTTAAAAATACGTTTATATATAGTACATATTATTTATTAATTATTCCATTTAATACTAGACTATATGTAATCTGTGCAATTCATTTAAATAAAAATCTTGCAGAATTACTTATAATTCTGTACTCTGTTATGGCAGATTCGTTTAGTAAATCCGCGCGACAAATCAGTGGATCTTGGTAATCTACCAATTAATAAAATAGCAACTAAAAAAGTGCCAGTGATCAACGACGGACGTGCTGCACTCGAGTTGAAGTTTGATCTTATGAAGAATCTACCTGGATACGATCGATTTCGCGAACGATTTCAAATTTGTCCGGATAAGATCGACCAAGAGAATTCCAAAAAGGATCACACTCGAGCATCGATTTCTGAAACAAAACGTTCGCATACGCTCGACGTGACTCTTCAGACCGTCGAACCCGATCTGTCCGAAGTTCTGGAGATCGAGCCGGCAGAATCGATCGTACTTCAGCCGGGGAAAATTGCGAATGTCGTTGTAAAATACAAATCTACGCGCAGGATGCGTCCTTTCGTCGTTAAGATGGCTTACCAAACCAATTCCATGATCCAACCGTTATTTATCTTGCGCGGAAGCTGTATAGGCGCGGAGTTCCGTTTGAACAGGACTTATGTTCCTTTCGGTATAGTCGTTCAACGTTGTCTCAGCGAGACAAAGATAGTGCTATTGAACACGGGAGATATTGGTGTCAGGTTGGTTTTTATTACCTAACTAATATAATAAGTAAAAAATAAATAAAGAATGTAGGACTTTATATTAATTTAAGAAATTAAGGGACTTTAAAATATTTTTGGACATAAATTTCTTTTAATAAAACGCATTCTTAAAAATATATGCTCTTTTCTCTAACAAATAATTTAAGCGTCTTTTATTTTCTATATACACGTACGGTTCCCATCCGTATATTTTACAAGTATTCTTTTTACATGTAATTTTCATTACTTTAATGCGAGATAAAGATTGATTTATTCAGATTCATTAATGTCGTACGATAACGTATAATTTATCGATCTCCAGATTCAAGTGGAACACGTCGAAATTGCCCAGTGATTTTAGCATCGCTCCTGCGGCTGGCTATTGCTCTCCTGGTATGGACGTCAACTTCGTTGTCAGTTTCCGACCTACTCAGCACGACAGTTTGATCGAGGGCAATGTAAGCGTATACAACTTCTACCCTTGTGTACCCGTGCATACAAATACTCTCGATCTTCGGCGAGAGTCTCGCGTACCTTCCGTACAATATACGCCGAACACAAAAGTGGTTTATTGCGCAACACAGTATATCTCTCGCCATATTTCTACATCGTATTTAACTTTTCGAAGTAACTTTTCCCCTCAGAACTTGAGAACGAGACTCTTGTATACGTGCCTGATATATATTTCTCGAGACTTTACTATATTTTAATAAATTCTTTTAAAAGTTATTTTAATGTTAATTTTTATAAACGCATAAAAAATACCTAATAATTGTTATTTTGAAAAAGCTTCTAATACGCAAATTCTATTCTAATTTAAATCTGATATTAATCTTATCTGGCGTGCAAGGAAATACTAGGACAGCGCAAAAATTACATATTTTTACAGTGATATACATATATATATAATCCTAGACAAGAAGAATAGTTTACTTTGTTTTCAGGCAACGCTTGAAATTGAAAAATATGGAGATCTCAGCGTAAGAATTACCGGAGCTAGTTGCAAGCTACCCGACCCGGTTGACACTCTGTTCTTCTCGTGTCGCGTTCGCGAGAAAATAATGAGGTCTCTAAACGTCGAAAACGACACCGCGACTCCTTGGAAATTGAAACCGGAGATTACCGGCGACTATTTCTTCGTCGACGAGGTCTTGCACGTTCCTTCGAAAAAATCTGCTACCTGCGCAGTCACCTACGCTCCTCTAGTCATGAACAGCGAGAATAATCACCACGAAGTAATTAAAAGAGAACTTGGCTAATTTCGAGTGAAATGATATCGTATAATTTCGCAGTAACGAATAGAACGGCTTTGTAAATTCTACATGAAAGCAACAGGTCGACAAACGTGTAATATTTCCGTAAATTATATCTCAGGGTACGTTGCTTCTAAAGCTGCCGGATGACAAAGCGCCTTTGGTGTACTGTCTTCGAGGACTCAGTCTACCTCCGCAAGTTCTCCAAAGGATTACACGTCAATTCCCGGCAAAGACGAAGTACACCGAATTGTTACCTGTCTACAATTGGCTGAGCAGGCAGCAACGATTCGAATGCAAAATTGTGAATACAAACGGCAACGAGCCCGTCGAGGTTTAGAAATTTTCTGAGAAATTTAGAACGTGAAATAATTAATTAAATTAATGCATATTAACGCAATATAATGAAATTCGTATATTTTCTTTCCTTAATTTACTTTTTCAGAATGTCAAAGTATTCACTTTTATCGGCAATAGCAAGATAGATGTGCCGGCGAACGGCCAGCGAGATTATCGCGCAGAGTTTTACTCCTACAAAGAATCGAAATATAATTTTAAGGTAAATTATTAAAGAAAATGCAAATAATGTAAAAGTTATTTTCGAAAAGACTTTTAGGTAATACATAGGTAGAATGCAACTTTCTAACTGTTTTTGAACGTGCTTTCGTTGTGTAAAATAATATTTTGCAAAATAATTAGAATCACGCGCGTGTACAGGTAACGTTCACTAACGAAGAGGGCGAATATCAATTTTATGAACTCCAATACGATATTACAAGACCACAAGAGATCGAGTCGATTAAGTTGGTCACTGCGGTACGATCTCCGGTGTGCCATGCTTTAAGGCTCGATAATCCACTTAAGGAGCAGTATGTAACATATACGGCAAACTGTCAGCATCCCTGCATCATGATCTACGACGTACCAAAGCTTGTGGCACCCTTACACAGCGTTAGTCATCGGATTTTGTCGATAATATGTTGAAAGTTATACCCAATTAAGTTCAATTTTCCTGAAAGTGCATTAAAATATTAACTCCTTCCGGTCCAAACTATTAGCTGTATCTAAATAAATAAATACATAAATAAACATTCAAAAATTTGTATTACTTGGAGAAATCTATGGAGATCTTTTAAAATATAGTTTGCCGATTATAATCGCTATTTGAATGCTTGAAAAATTATGCGATAGGCTACCGCAATACGTTATATATCGACATGGCAAAGGGTTAATATAATAAAGGAATTACATCCGCAACTTGTAAATTAATTTAATCGTGGCAAACAAATAACGATAACGATCGCCGTGAATGTGACAGGAAACCATCGGTGTTGAGTATCGTCCTTTACACCCTGCCGAGGAAACCGCGGTAAACTTGGACATCAACTGCGAGGAGCTCGGACTGTTTCCCTATGAGCTGCGATTGCGAGCGATACCAGCACCCGCGGAGAAAACGACTCACGTCGTCGCGGTACTCGGCGGTTCCACCACCTTCTCTCTGACTATAAGCAATCACGCCCGAAAGACTGCGGTGTTCGCCATCAAGGTGAGCATAAAACGTTTCCTCTTATATTTTCTTTTTGCCATAACAATCGTTAGAAAAATCTCATTCTCGGTTTAGGTGAATAACGAATGCTTCACGACTCCGAAGAACGTCGAGGTGCCAGCTTTGAAGAATGCTACATTCGATGTAACTTACGAGCCCTGCGACGTCGACAACATCTCCGCTACTTTGACAGCCACATCTGAGATTGCCGGCGAATTTGTGTACGATAATTCGCAATTAAGATGGCTTAATCCTTCGTGATTCTAACATCGAATTAAACTCGAGAGACATATGTTGCGATAGCCTATCGCATAGTTCTTCAAG